AAATAGAAGCTAGAAGCTGAGTTGTGAATCAAGTGGGAGAGCACCAGCCTTGAGTAAGAAAGCTATGGGACAGGGCCTGGGTCCTGAGTTCAGGTCCCAGTACTGGCATCAAAAAAATTAAAAGGGCTGGGAATGTGGCTTAGTGGTAGAGTGCTTGCCTAGCATGCATGACACCCTTGCCTAGCATGCATGCCCTAGCCATGCATGAAGTCCTCAATACTATATACATAGAAAAAGATTAAGTGGTGCTGTGGTTCAAGTGGTAGAGTGCTAGCCTTGAGCAAAAGCTCAGGGACAGTGCCCAGGCCCAGAGTTCAAGTCCCAGGACTGGCAAATAAATAAATAAAATGACAAATAAGTTTTAACTTATGGGCCAATAAATATGCTAGTTATGAGAAAAATTTGGAGATCAACACAAGAGAAAAACTTATGAATAGATTAGCACAGTCTGAGGTAGCTGTTCCAGGCAAGGTGGTGCATTGGTTCAATATATTTGCCATTTCTTACCTCCTGAGTTCACAGCACATGAAGAGCCCCCATACATCCTTCCTTACACCCCACCTTCCTTGCTGTGGACACAGCATTTGCAGTTCTTTTTTTGGCAGGAGAGATTCAAATCCAGGTCTCACCCTTGTTAGGTAGGCACTCTACCATTTGAGCCACTCCTCCAGGCCTGTGGGGGTGCTTTCCTATTTTGTTTTGGCTTTTGAGGCTAGCCTGGAACTTGCTGTGTGGTCCAGGCTGGCTTCAAATTTGTGATCCTTCTACCTTAGTCTCCACCTCCTAATGTGCTGGGAGTAGGTGTACACCACCATGGCTGGCTATCTGTGGGTCCTGAAAGGCAATTCTTTTTTTTTTTTTTTTGGGTCCGGTCATGGGGCCTGAACTCTGGGCCTGGGCGCTGTCCCTCAGCTCTTCAGCTCAAGGCTAGCGCTCTACCACTTGAGCCACAGCGCCTCTTCCGGCTTTTTTTTTTCTGCTTATGTGGTGCTGAGGAATCGAACCCAGGGCCTCAAGCATGCAAGGCAAGCGCTCTACCACTGAGCCACCTTCCCAGCCCAAGGCAACTCTTCTTGACTTAAGCCTCCTTCCCAGTCAGCAGAGCAGTGCCTCTCCCAAAACAATGCCTGTCTTCACTCCAACCTCCTGTTTCTCCTGTGGTTCCCAGTGTTTCATCTGTTCTTGTCATAGTGCTTTACCTCTCTCCATCACAGCCATTGCTCACTAGGATGACATGGCTTCTTTTCTTGTACACCTCACCTGTTAGCTCTATGACACTTGGGGTATCATATGAGATTTGCTGAAATCTACCTTTTTGTCTTTCAACAAATCTAATCTCTCCATGGTAAAATACTTCTTCTCATAGTTTCTTGGGCCCCTGGCTCAACTTTTTGTTGTTGGTGGTGGTAGTTGTAGGGCTTGAACTCAGCACCTAAGTGCTGTCCCTGAGCTTTTTTGCTCAAGGATCACGATCTACCATGTTGTTCCACAGTGCCACTTCCAGTTTTCTGGTGGTTAATTGGAGATAAGAGTCTCATGGACTTTCCTGGCTAGGCCAGCTTTGAACCATGATCCTCAGCTCTCAGCCTCCTGAGTAGCTAGGATTACAGGCATGAGCCACCAGCGCTCTACAACTGCTTGTTCTGTGATAATGCCCTTGGATGTTCCCTCAAATAATTAAAAACAAAAATAAAAAACCCCACCTCCTTTAGGGCAGAGATCATGGACTGTTTGTTTTTGTGCTCTGGCTACTGCTTTACACTCTAGGGTTGCTCAACAAATAGAGCCTAGCCCATCCAACTGTTCCTAGATTGTTCTTGTCCCATCAGCCCCCATCTATAGCTTCCAAGAAGTCTCAAAAGGATCCAGTACCATCGGCCATATTCCTAAAAAATTACTCTTTCTGACCATAGGACATCCAACAACTTATAAGCTATGGGGTTGTTATTTGATCAGTGCTGGCTATGAAGGTATGTGTTAGATGTGATTAAAGTTTTTATCAGTAGACATTAAATAAAGCACGACAGCCTCTACGTAAGCTTTTTGTCATTGAAACAAGTACTTAAGATAATCAAGTTCAAAAGGGAGAAGATTAATTTGGGTTGGCAGTTTGGAGGTTTCAGCCGTGACTGATTGGCATCATGACTTTGGGCCTGTAAGAGGCAGTACAGGGTGGTAAGCATATGTAACTGTGAAAGGAAAGCAAAAGAGACTAGTATTCCCATCCTTATTTCCATTGTTTTTGAGTTTTGTTTTTGGTGCCAACACTGGGACCTATCTGTGTCTAAATGAGCACATGTAAGACTATGTGTCCTGGTCCTGAGGTTTGAACTCAGGGGATTATTCCTTAACTTTTTCACTCAAGGCTGGTGCTCCACTACTTGAGCCACACTTCCACTTCTGGTTTTTTGGTGGTTAATTGGAAGATAAGAGTCTCATGGACTTTTTTTTTTTTTGTTCCAGCTGGCTTTGAACCATGATCCTCAGATCTGTCTTCTGAGTAACTAGAGTTACAGATGTGAACCACTGTGGTGTGGCTCCATCAAGTTCTTACACTCTCATGATTTCACTTGGCTTTGCCTGATCACCTTCCTTCTTCAGAGTAGGTGGGTACCTTGGGAGGATTGGACAAAGAAGGGCCACACAGTCTCTTCTGTGGGCATTTCCCCACTGACCTGTAAGACCTTTCAGCAAGTCCTACCTGCTAAATCCATTATATCCTAAGGGTTCAGTGCCTGACCTTCAGGGACCATACCTCGCACCTTCTCCAAGGTGGTGAGGGTTTCATCGTATCAACCCACGAGTCTGAGTCTGTCCTTAGACCCATGACATCAGTCCTTCCCTGGGTCTCTAGTCTGCTGGCCCATCTTGCAAATCTGGCCAGCATCATGTCTATAGTTAGGTCTCTATATCCCATTGGTTATGTCTCTGGCAAACCCTATAACCACAGGTCCTAGGTTTGATCCAAACCTTTGTTCCCCTTTTCAAGTTCCCTAGTGAGGCATTTTAGCTCCACTACACCTAATTTTGTTTTGGTTGATTTAGAAAGCATATTTTCAGGACTGTACCTGAACATATATGGCCTAAGGCTCAGAAATTCAAGATGTAAGAAACAAAATCACAAGTAATATACCATTCAAATTAAATCAGGTCTCCTGTACCATTGTCTTACCAAGATGAGACAGAGTAACTGCCAAGAGCACCGGAAGAGGTGCTATTCTGGTTTTCATACTGCTAAGGTTGAACTTGCAAACACCTAGAGAATGTCAGGACCATGTCTAATTAGGACCTAATAATTGTCAAGCTGGAACAAAGGACAGGTCTACTACAGTGACATTTAACAGGGTAAAAGTTCAAGGTCCTAGCTGGGCACTGGTGGCTCATGCCTGTAATCCTAGCTACTCAGGAGGCTGAGACTTGGGGATTATGATTGGAAGCCAGCCCAGGCAGGAAGGCTTATTGCCAATTAATCACCAAAAAAACCCCCAAAAAACAAAACAAAACAAAAAAAAGCCAGAAGTGGAGGTGTGCCTCAAGTGGTAGAGCACTAGCCTGGATCACCAAAGTTCAGAGACAGTGCTCAGGCCCTGAGTTCAAGCCCCAGGTCCAATACCAAAAATAAATAAAGACACGAGGTCCTGCATTAAGAGGTCAAAATATCGACTGCCATCTACAGGATTGAGAGAGAAAAAGGTGGCTGGAGAGATGAGCTGAGTCTTTGGATGACCTTGGGTGCATCAGGCAGTCTGTGGACTCGGTGTAGTTTGTGAATTCTGGTGGAGGGTCCGCAACCTGGCTGTCCCAGGGCTCTAGCTAGGTGGGTAAAAACCACAGAGCCATGACAATAGAGTGGCTAAGGAGCTGTACATTACAGGCAACATCCTGACCGAAGTTCTTTTCCCCCTTTGCTGTGAGATCTTGGGCAATTTATTTGACTCTTCTAATCCACAGTGAGAATCACACCCACCTCACATGGTTGTTTTGATTAAGGGAGTTAGAACAATTTTGGCAGAGGTAGGTTTAGAATAGGTATTTTTGCAAATATCAACAGAATGATACATAATGGCTGCCTTCACATATGGTGTCCTTACCCGGAAAGGCCTTTTAGCTGCTCTGAACATCTTCAGAAGGTACATGGCTGTCTGGTCCTTTCTCTCACTGCAGTCTCTAGATAGGAGCAGTTGTGTTAAAGTTCAAAGGCACAGTCACCTGGTGGGGGTACTGGAGTTGGGTACCTGGTGGACAAGATAATCCTCAGGGTTCCATTTTGTAACTTGAGACTCTAACCTTCTAGCACTTGTTATTTTGGGTCCCCTCAGCCTAGAGGCACAGGGGACACACACACACACACACACACCATGCTCTGAATCTACCAGCAAAACCATTGAGGATTTCATCTCAGTTACCTATGCACCCTATAATTCAGGATTATACTCCAGTCTAGGAATAAAAACAAAGCAGGAGAGGGCTCTTAGGTTACCCTGCACACTTGTGACTACCTAGGGTCTAGACCATCTTTTTTTTTGCAGGCCCTGGGGTTCGAACCCCGGGACTAGGCACTGTCCCTGAGCTTCTTTTGTTCCGGGTTAGTACTCCACCACTTCTGGCTTTTTCTGAGTAGTTTATTGGAGATAAGAGTTTGGCTGGCTTTGAAACCCGATTCACAGATCTCAGCCTCCTGAGTAGCCATTATTACAGGTGTGAGCTACTACTGCCCAGTTTAGACCCTTTTGGGTAAGAAGACAAAAACAAAGACAGAGAGAAAGCGCACAGAGAGAAGGTGCTCAGTGTACACAGCTGCTGTCCCCATTGGGCCCGCCCTCTATAAGGCAAATCAAGTCCCAGGAAGACCCTAGACTTGTGAACATGAGCTGCTGAAACAGGGGTGTACATCGGGACCCTGGCCAGGGGAGGATGGGAATTCTACCCCAGAACTCCTATGTCCCCCTACAAGCACCGGCAGCCATTCTCCATATTGAAGACAAACAGCACCAGTAAAGTTCTGTGAATAAAACTTTTAATAATGTACAGCAGAAATCGGACAGGCTCATTCTTATATTAAAACAAAAGATTTCCTATATTACAATGTATTTACATTTGCATACTGAAGAGGTAAAGTGTCTAAGTGGCTATTTTACAGTCCTTTCTAATAAAATGTACAAAAACAAACAGAAGTACCGAGAATGCCGCACGGGGCCTCGATGGCGACGTGGGAACGGGCTTGGACCCCGTCTGTGAATCCAGAGGTGCGCTAGCCCTGGCCTCAGGGACGCCGCACAGGGCCAGAGCCACAGCTTCAGCTCTTCCCAACTCTCACTGGGCCTTAATAGTACGGGAGAACAGCAGGGGCCCCAAGGAGTGGGCTAGTGACTTTGAAGTCACCGGGTGGACTCACATTGGCGGATCCCAGAGGCTAGCTGTGACCAGGGCAGTGGAGTCTTAAGTTCATCATCACTTGTAACACCAAGGTTCTGCTGCAGGGCTGGCAGGTCAGTGGGAGGTCAGCAGGGATGGGTAAAGAAGGTCCCCTAATGACACATTGGTATTCAAGGGAAATTAATCAGTGGCCAGTAAATTGGCCCAAAGGATTAGAGGAAGATCTCCTTTGATGCAAGAAGAGAAGTGACACATGGGGAAAATAAATAGAAAGGCCAGGAGTGCAGGAGACCAAGGGCAGGGGAGGGCTCTCGGTCCCTCCTCCCCAACTTTGGCAGGGAAGCTGCACACATAACATGCCTCCCCAGGCAGAAGGGGCTCAAGATGAATGCAGTGCTTTGGAGGGGGTCCACCTGGGGTTTTAGAGCCCAGGTCTTGCTGCCCACCAGTGGTCTCTGCAGAGGGGATATGGGAATCCTCTCTCCTCAGTGGTCTTATTTAAAACAACAATTCCAGGCTCAAAAAGCTCTCAGAACCAAGCACGAAAACATCTGGTTTCAAAGCAGGCACTCACTTGACTGAGCTCCCTCTTCAGTGCTCTAAGAGCAGCACCTAAGCCTGTCTAGTCCAACACAGAGGTATTTCCAGGCCCAGCCAGCATGGGTACTCAGCCAGCACTTGACTCTCATTTGCTGAGCCAATGCCTGGAGCGGCACAAGCACAAAAGGTAAGGGTGCTCAGAGGGGGGAGGGGAGAGACAAAATTCAAGAGACACCAAGCCCCCAGGGCAAAGAGGAAATCTCACTGCTGAGTGGGAACAGGCTCAGGTACAAGGACAAACATTTCCAGTGTGATTGAGCTATGTGCGTTTGATTGAAAGTTTTTTTTTGTTGTTTTTGTTTTTTTCAGGGATTTCTTTAAAACAAAACAAAACAAAATAGACTGAGAGGTAATCATCACATAGAGATGGTTTCCTTTTACAAAAACTTAACATTTAAAAAAAGTTAAAATCCAGACCCTCCCAATAAAATAAAATAACAATAAAATAAATCAAACCACTCCAGTTAAAAGTTATGGCTTCAAAGTTATTATATACCTAAGATATGCTGACCAAATCACCACCCACAACCGTGCTTCTAGACTTCATTAAATACTATACTTAGGTTAAATAACATGTTCAGCTCAGGCTGTTCCCTTTAGCAGGGCCCCTGAAGTGGATGCAAATCTCTCATCTTCCCTCCATCCTGATTGGATAATCCAGCTCAAAGGTCCATGCAGATGCCGACCTCCCACCCCAGTCTCCCTCCCACTTAGTACCCCACCCTTCCTTTCCCCACCCCAAACCCACCACCACCAAAAATATACACTGCAGTTTGTAGAATCTGGGATGGGACAGACAGATGTGACATTCCAATGTGAGTCCCAAGAACTCACTTCCGACTCCTTGGCCCTTCCTGATGCTGTTGAGGATGATGCCCTTGGGCTGGCTCATTTCCCACAGCTGATGCTGACCACAACACCAAAGATTTCTGCCAAGATTCTTTCTGCCCATCCCTCTCCCCCTCACATTTTGACCAAAAGCCTCTCCTGCCATGGACAGCTGGGCCAGCTTTGGTTCCAGTCTGAAATGGAAGAGGAGAGGCTGACATGGGATGGGTGGAGCAGCATGCTGGAAAGAGGGCTACCGTGGCAGGGGTGGGATGGGGGATACCTCCAGGAAGGGCCCCAGGGAAACTAGATGTTGCTCACTATGCACAGAGGCACCAGCACGCAGACGGCAGGACAACCACACCCCCGGCCTGCACATGCACAGAAAGCTCAAGCAGGTAAGTGCGCACCTACAGACACACACGTACACACACGTTAAGGGCAGGCGAGGCACGGACCAGGCACAATGGGGACGCACCTCGGCACATGCACACGCGGCTAGACAGACAGCTGGCAGGTGACTCCACTGGCAGTTCCTCCAGATGTCCATGTGAGGAGGGGAGCACACAGCTCAGAGCTGCCTGGGACAGGGGCTGTACTTCGGTTCCCCTGGATACCTTGGGGTACTGTTGGCTGGTCCCTGGAGGAAAACCTGCAGTGCTACTTAGCACTGGCCACAGTGCAGCTCCTCCTGGCCCCTTGCAGGCCATTCTATCACTACTCCTGGCTATGTGCCAGATGCACCGGGTTTTGTGGATTTTCCACCGCAACCAGTTCGAGTTGTGGCATTGAGTTCTCCACATGATTCACTCTCAGAGTCTCCATGCCATCAGGAGGTAAATAAAAAAGGTTATCTGTGTCTCAAACCCAACAGGGGAGCGAGCGAGTCTCCCGGGCTCTGTCCCTGTTGCGGGCCAGGGCTCTGACCACAGTGGGCTGGGCAGAAACGAGAGGTAGGCCTCCACTGTACGATCAACACGGCAGCTGCGTGTCATCCTTGCCGCCCAGGCTGCATGGAAGGGGAGGAGGTTAGATCTTCACATCTTCCTGCACGCTGAGCTGTGAGAGGGTCTTCTTGATGCGCAGTGCAGTCAGGCGGGCTGCGCCATTGGCATACCAGCACTCCCGCATCATCTTCCCCATCACCCGCAATGCCTGTCAAGAGAGATGCAGGGTTATCAGCTTGACCTTGACCCAGAAAAGCTTTCTGGCCCTTAGGCACTGGCTCATTTCCCTGCTGCCTCCTCATCCATGCCAAGACTATCAGACTCTTTGACACCTTCCAACCAGGGAAATTCTTTGCAAACTTCTCCCCTTTGCTCTTCCTTCTGTAAGGAAGAGGCTGTGCAGGGGAAGAAAAAAGCTGCAGTTAAAGGCCAGCTCTCTCTGCCTCACTCTCAAATCTAACCAGAGGCAGTGAGGAAACATTTTGGAAAATGTTGTTCTATTATGCAACAAGAAAACATGGGGGAAATGGGAGCTGATGTTCTTGGTGCTGAAACGCCCTCTCATGGCTGTGTTCTTTAAAGGCAGAGCGGACCTTTTCTGCTCCACTCTAACACATATGCTATAGTTGGGGGGAGAGGAAGGTTGGATCCAAAACACGGAGAGTTAGCAAAGCTGTATGAGATGCTTGATATATATATATATATATATATTTTTTTTTTTTTTTCCTTTGGTGCCAGTCCTGGGGATTAAATTCAGGATCTGGGAGCTGTCATTAAGCTCCTTTTTTTTTTTTTTGCTCAAGGCTAGCACTCTACCTTTTGAGCCTCCTGTTTTTTGTTTGTTTGTTTTTTTTTTGGTGGTTACCTGGAGGTAGGAGTCTCACAGACTTTTCCTGCCTGGGCTGGCTTTGAACTGCAATCCTCATTATCTCAGCCTCCTGAGTAGCTAGGATTGTAAGCATGAGCACCAATGCCCAGCACATTTTTAATTTTTTTGTGACAGGCCTAGGCTGACCACCCAACTCACAATCTTCCTGGCTCAGGCCTCTGCAACCATGCCTGGAATGAGGAGACCCAGTCTTAAATGTGCTCATTACACATGCATAAAGGCAACTAGGTAGGGTCACAGATGTGCTACTTGACTGTAGTAATCCTTCACAATATGTACACTATCAAATTAGCCTGTGTACACCTTAACTATAATTTCACTTGTCAATCACGGCTCAAATAAAACTGATTAAACACATAAATAAGTAGGAAAAGCAGGATGACGAGTGAGAAAGTAGCCCCTATGCACTCAGCTAAGCAAACCTTGTTCCCCTGAAAACTCTTAAAACCCCAAAACTCAGGCTTCTTAGGAATCTGTCATCAACTAAACAGTATACTTCAGCCATTTCCACCAAATGCTGTCACTCCCCGCTTCACCCACCAGGTGTCCCCAGTTTCAATTCTGGCTCTTCACATGTCATCTTCTTCTCTGCAGTTTTTAGTAGGGCCACTGCTCAAACACGCCTCTTACTTTTGTGATACTATCCACAAGCTCAGCTTGTGTGGCTGCTAGTTCTACTGTTCCACAGGAAGCCAAGTGCGAGTTTTCTCCTATACTACCACATCAGTCCATGTGATAGTCTAACCCCCCCAACCCCCATTTCTATCTCTAGCTGACCACCTCCATTATCTATTGCCCAAAAGAATCCTATTTCCTTTAGGCTGTCACCTCCAAAGAGGACAAAGACTATATAGCCCAGAGGGATTAGTAGTAACTGCATAGAATAGTATAAACAGTATTTTTTTGGGGGGGTCCGGTCATGGGGCCTGAACTCTGGGCCTGGGCACTGTCCCTCAGCTCTTCAGCTCAAGGCTAGTGCTCTACCACTTTAGCCACAGCACCACTTCCGGCTTTTTTCTTTTTGCTTCTGTGGTACTAAGGAATCGAACCCAGGGCCTCATGCATGCAAGGCAAGCACTCTACCATTGAGCCACCTTCCCAGCCCCTATAAACAGCATTTCTTACCTGAAATGACTAGAACTACAAGTGTGGTGGGTTTCAGATTCTTTCACATTTGAGAAATATTTATATATAAACAATAAGATCTTGATGAGAAGCAAGTCTAAGCATAAACTTCATTAATACAGTATTTTTAATTAATTAACTAATTAATATTTTTTTTTGTCCGTCATGGGGCCTGAACTCTGTCCCTCGCTCTTGAGCTCAAGGCTAGCGCTCTACCACTTGAGCCACAGTGCTATTTCTGGTTTTATCTGCTTACGTGGTGCTAAGGAATCGAACCCAGGACCTCATGCGAGGCAAGCACTCTACCACTGAGCCACCTTCCCAGCCCCAAAACAGTATTTTTAGTGAGCTTGCATTTGTTTTTCCCCTACAACTTAAGGGCAAGGTGACCTGTCATATGAGATCAGGTGAGGAATTTTCCACTTGTGACACCATGTTGGTAATCAAAAAAATTCAGATTTTTTTTTTGGGGGGGGGGGGAGCTGGGAATATGGCTTAGTGGTAAAGTGCTTGCCTAACATGCATAAAGCCCTGGGTTTGATTCCTCGGTACCACATACACAGAAAAAGCCAGAAGTGGCACTGTGGCTCAAGTGGTAGAGTGCTAGCCTTGAGCAAAAGAAGCTCAGGGACAGTGCCCAGGTCCTGAGTTCAAGTCCCAGGATTGGCAAAAAAATAAAAAATAAAAAATAATTCAGATTTTTGTCAGACATGGTAGCATATGCCTGTAATCTCAGTACTTAAGACTACAATGGGGGGGGGGTAGTTGTGGAGGTTGGGAGGGAAGGGATGGTAAGGGGAAAACAAAGGAGGAAGCAACAATGCTCAATAGGAAATGTACTCATTGCCTTGCTCATGTTAACTGTAACCCCTCTATACAGCATTTTTACAATAAAAAATGTACAAAAACGTAAAAAAAAAAAAAAAGACTACAATAGTGAGTTAGTTGAAGACCAGCCTGGGCTACAGAGCAAGACTGTCTAAAGAAACAAATTAGGAAAAATGTCAGGTTTTGAACTTTCAGATAAGGAATGTAAATCTTTATTATGATGCAGATAAGAAAAGCCACAGCAGTCAAAGAAATGTCCTACCTCATAACTCTGCCACCAGTTGGGGATGTTGGGGCGTAGCTTCTGGTCACAAACGACCTTTCGCATTTCCTCAATGGAAGGGTCAGAGGGCACTAAGTCGTAATATGGTAGTTGATACTCTTCATGGACTCCTGGGAGAAAAGACACTCTCAGCAGAAGGAAGGGAGAGATTGCTCTGCAGCCAATGAGCAGCCCACATGTTGGTCTGCAATGCCGCTTCCCACTATGATGGACTCGGGTCAACAAAGAAGGCTGTGATTCCAGATATGGTACAAGAAACTCACAAAACACCACCACCACCCACAAGCAGCCAGAAACATTATTTTTTTCTAATAAAAGGCAGAGAATCTATTGACGATTACTGGGGTTACTGAAAATTTCCCAACTAGCTAACGATGAGCTACTGATGCCAGGCTGAAACTAGTATTTTTAAATCTATCAGCTCGTAGTAATTCTAAAAATAAAAAGAAAGAAAAGAAAAAAAGAAGCCTGGCATCAGTGGCTCCTTCCTATAATCCTAGCTACTCAGGAGGCTGAGTTCTGAGGATGGCGGTTCAAAGCCAGCCAGGGCAGGAAAGTCCGGTAAGTAGCTCTCTCTTATCTCCAATTAACCACCAGAAAACTGGAACTAGCACTGTGGCTCAAGTGGTAGAGCCCTCATCTTGAGCTGAAGAGCTCAGGGACAGCACTCAGGCCCAGAGTTCAAGCCCCACAACTGACAAAAACAAAACAAACAAAAAAACCCTCAGTCATCTTTTGAGTGTGCTAGGCATTAGCTCAATATTTTGAAAACGGTTCATAAATGGAAAGAATCAAGCATTTTTCCTGACACTCTTAGTCAACCTTTACACCTGAGTAACCAAGTAGACAATTTGGGAAGTTTCATTTTAAAGAAAACTCCAGGCTAGCCAGGTGCCAGGGGCACCTGTAATCCTAGCTACTCAGAAGGCTGAGATCTGAGGATCATGGTTCAAAGCCAGCTAGGTCAGGAAAGTCCAAGAGACTCTTATCTCCAATTAACTACCAGAAAAACGGAAGTGCTAGCCACCCTGAGTGCTAGCTCCCAGCACTCAGGGAGGGCTGGGAATGTGGGTTAGTAGTAGAGTGTTTGCCTACCATGTATGAAGCCCTAAGTTTGATTCCTCAGGACCACATAAACAGAAAAGGCTGGAAGTGGTGCTGTGGCTCAAGTGGTAGAGTGCTAGCCTTGGGCAAAAGAAGCTCAGGAAGGGCTGGGAAGGTGGCTCAGTGGTAGAGCGTTTGCCTTGCATGCATGAGGCCCTGGGTTCGATTCCTCAGCACCACATAAGCAAAAAGAAAAAAGCCGGAAGTGACTCTGTGGTTCAAGTGGTAGAGCACTAGCCTTGAGCTGAAGAGCTGAGGGACAGTGCCCAGGCCCAGAGTTCAGGTCCCACAACCGGACCAAAAAACAAAACAAAACAAAACAAAACAAAGCTCAGGAACAGTGCCCAGGTCCTGTGTTCAAGTCCCAAGATAGAATCTCATAGACTTTTCTGCCTGGGCTGGCTTTGAATAGTCATCCTCTAAACCTTTGTCTGAGGATTACAGGTGCCCAGCAACTTTTCTTTCCCCAATTCTGGGGCTTGAACTCAGGGCCTAGGCACTGTCCCTGAGCTTCTTTTGCTCAAGGCTAGCACTCTACTACTTGAGCCATAGCACCATTTCTGGTTTTCTGGTGGTTGACTGGAGATAAGAGTCTCACAGATGTTCCTGCCTGGGCTGGCTTTGAACCTTGATCCTCAGGTACCAGCCTCCTCAGTAGCTAGAATTACAGAGCCACTAGTGCCCGGCTCCAGATATTCTTGAGCTTGATCATGTCATAGAATATTTGGAGATAATCATGAATACCAATATAAGCAGCTGGGTGCTAGTTGCTCACTACTCAGGAGGCTGAGATTTGATCAGCCTGGGCAAGAAAGTCTGCAAGACTCTTAACTCCAATTAACCAGCAAAAAGCCAGAAGTGGAACAGCGGCTAAAGTGGTAGAGAGCCAGCTTTAGGCAAAAAGGTAAAGGGCAGTGCCCAAGACCTGAGTTCAAGCCCCAGTTCTGGCATAAAACAAAACAAAATAAAGAATATTACCTAATCTGATAATGCTTTATGCTGGGCTCTTCCCCCTCTTTTTTTGGTGGTACTGGTGTTTGAACTCAAGGCCTCAAGCTATTGGTTAAGATAGAGTCTTGTTATCCTGTTTCCCCCAGGCTGAATGCCAGTGATTCACTGGCCCTTTGACTCCAGGGGTCTAGATGACCCTCAATGTGCACTCTGGCTCTGGAACTGTCATCCAACAGCCTGAGGTCAAAGGGCCAGTGAAGCACCAGCAACCCTCAGATGACCCATCATGCAAAAACTGGGAGTAGGATAAAAGGTCAAATAAAAAACTACCTCCAGAATTGCACCTTCGAGCAATCTCCCAATATACTAGCCCAAGGGCATAAATATCAGCACATTTAAAGGAGTCGAAATGTTTCATGTTAATGGTTTCATCAAGTACTTCAGGAGCCATGTATCTGCAAGAGCAAAAAAAAGAAACATGGTTATGCACAGAACATGATGACTGTTCTCTGAATGTGGGAGAGCATCATTCCTGTATAGGCCTTTGGCGACAAGTGGGCACTTGTGTTTATTGTACACACTCATGTTCTAAATTCAAGCTTGAACACTTTAGTACCAATTTGGCAATATTAGGCTACTCTTATGTCTGTATGTGTGTGTGTGTTTGTTGGTTGGTTGTAGGGCTTGAACTCAGGGCCTGGGCGCTGTCCCTGAGCCTCTTTATGCTCAACACTAATCCCCTACCACTTGAGCCACAGCACCACTTCCAGTTTTTGAGTAGTTAATTGGAAATAAAGAGTCTCATGGGGACTTTTCTGCCCAGGCTGGCTTTGAACCATGATCCTCAGATCTCAGCCTTCTGAGTACCTAGGATTACAGGTGTGAGCCATTGGCACCTGGCTTGGCTATTTTTATTTATTTTCCTACCAGTGCCAGGGCTTGAACTCAGTGCTTCACACTCTTGCTTGGCTTTCTTGTTCACTGCTGGTGCTCAACCACTTGGGCCATACCTCCAGTCTGGCGTTGTCCTGGCAAATTGGAGATGGGAGTCTCATAGACTTTTTTGCTTGCACTGCCTGTGAACAGCGATCCTCCAGATCTCAGTCTCTTTAGTAACTAAAATTATAGGTGTGATCCACTGACACCTGGCTATTTATTTTTTTGAAACGGTCTCATAATGTTGCATAAGCTGACGTCAAACTCCTAATTATCTTGCCTCAGCTTCCTAAAGGATATGACTCCATGCACGTACTACCAAGCATAGCTGTATTTTAGCAGTTTGGTGGTTTGAACTCAGGGTCTCACACTGGCTAAGTAGTCATTCTACAACGTAAGCCATACCTCCAGCCCATTTAGGGGGTTATTGTTTTGAGATAGGGCTTCCCTTTACGTTCTCACCTGGACTGCGGTCCTATGTGTGCTTCTCCCATCTCTGGTATGACAGGTGTATGTTACTGTGCCCAGCCATTGGTTGAAAGGGAATCTCACTTTTTATATTTTTGTCCAAGGCTGGCTGCAAGCCATAATTCCCCCATGTAGCAGATCTGTATCTTTTTTTTTTTAATCATTATGATTTACTGATTGAAACCTCTTGATTTCTCAGCAGAGGGTATGCAGTGGGCCACATAAGCATTATAGTACATAGCATTTGGTTGCTACTAGAACTTTTCACTCTATTGAATGAAGAAGCTGCAGGAATGGATTGCATTTAAATTTCATTCTGAGCTAGGTGCCGGTAGCTCATGCTTGAAATCCTAGCTACTCAGTAGGTTGATCTGAGGATTGCAGTTCAATGCCAGGCTGGGGAGGAAAGTCCATGAGACCCTTATCTCGAATTAAGCACCAAAAAGGCTGGAAGTGAAACTGCGGATCAAGTGGTAGAATGCTAGTTTTGAGCAAAAAAACACCTCAGGGTAGCATCCAGGCCCTAAGTTCAAGCTCCAGGATAGGAACAAAAAACAGTAACAAAAAATAATTTTATTCTGAACTTTTGTTATCTGCTTGATTGCAGATAGGTGATAATTCTAAGAGTCACGCTTAGTGAAAGTTACCCTTTTCTGACTTTGAGTAGTAATTACAATTAATTACTATGACTTGAGCCTCTCATAATACACCAGTGGATCATCTGAGGTTCCACACTTCGGAGTCTGGGTGGCTGCAGCAATCATTCAGGTCAAAAGCAAGCTGGACACTAGTGGCTCAAACCTTTAATCCTAGCTACTCAGGAGGCTCAGATATGAGGATCACAGTTCAAAACCAGCCTGGGTAGAAAAGTCCCTAAGACTCTTATCTCCAATAAACTACTCAGAAAAAGCCAGAAGTGGTGCTGTGGCTCAAGTGGAAGAGTGCTAGCCTTGAGTAAAAGAAGCCCAGGGACAGTGCCCAGGCCCTGAGTCCATGTAAGCCCCAGAACCAGTGGGGGGGGGTCGGGGGGGGAGGGGGGGGAGGAAAGAACGAAAAGGAACCACACAACTTAATGAATTCACTTAGATTCAGCACATAGACTCTTCTGACATCTTTGACAAGGCAGCCCTATTTCCACCCAGGCAGCAAACGACAATGCCTTTACTTCCAAGTGAAACAGGAAGCAGGCCACAATCCCTGAGCAGCCCGAGCCCCATCTCAATCAACTCTGTTCCGCACAGAATAGGCCACTGTCTCCTCCAAGTTTCTGCACAAGCTACCCTTTGGACCAAAATATTTCATCTTTTCCTCTAGCACACCTTGTGTCTACCATGCTCCAAATTCTCCATTGCCTTCACTTGTAATACCACCAGCTGTGAGTATACATTTCCACAGAGCTGTAGTCCCAGCACTGGAATCTGTTATGTGTGACTACATGGCTTGCAGTGTGGGGAGTGGGTGTTTGACTCAGCTTACAGCTGCCCAAGGGGAAGGGCCACCCGTCCTTTGTTTACATTTCTTCCTGTGTACATGGAAAGGATACATAAGACTCAGGACAAGCTGGTAAGTGAGGGCAGAAGCTTGGCACCTTCTTACCGTTTGGTTCCCACCCTCTGATTTGGAGCAATGTCAATGGTGTCAGTGACTGCATCATGACGGACAGCCAGGCCAAGGTCTGCAATGGCACACATGCCATTTTTCTTCACCAGGATGTTCTTTGACTTTAAGTCTCGATGAGCAATTCCAGGTTTTCCTAGTGGAGACAAAACCAGGATTTTTTTTTTTTTGGGGTCCGGTCGTGGGGCCTGAACTCTGGGCCTGGGCACTGTCCCTCAGCTCTTCAGCTCAAGGCTAGTGCTCTACCACTTGAGCCACAGCGCCACTTCTGGCTTTTTTCTTTTTGCTTATGTGGTGCTGAGGAATGGAACCCAGGGCCTCAGGCATGCAAGGCAAGCGCTCTACCACTGAGCCAACTTCCCAGCCCCATTTTTTTTTTTTTTAAAGGTAGTAAAACTGTTAAGAGACTTTACAGTCAAGACTGGGTATGCTCAAGTTCTTGTGTTGCTTCCTGTATCCAGTGATCCATGGGTACTACAGAAATGACCTATGTGTAAGTAAAGGCTTAAGGCAGAGGAGGGTATTTGGTAACAGAACTACTGGTACAGCTGCCTCCAGCGGGCCATAAACAGTAAGGTCTAAGAGCAGCTCAGAGGAGTTCAGAATGAAATAGGCCTGAACGTGGACACTGATGGGATCAGCACAGAGATCAGTAACAGACCCAACTGTCATACTTTGTTTCTTATCATGGCTAGCAAAAGCTGTTTGCCAAGTCAATCAGGCACTAGGGATTCTACCTGCAGCTGGGCAAAACCAGGATCTCCCAAGAGAACATTACAGTCAACGAGCAGCCAGGCTCTGGGTCTTCTGTCTCCAGGAAGACCATTCCAGCTAGGAGAGCCCAGTGTTTCACTAGCACACAGTTTGTAAGTCAGTATCCCCATGTAAAATTACTACCATGTAAAATTACTGCCATGTGAAATTACTGAGTTGAAGCTGGGCATGGTAGTACATGCCTGTACAGCTACAAGGGAGGTGGATATGGGAAGATCTTGAAGTCAGCATGAGCAAAAAAAATAGTGAGACTCTACCTCAAAAAGATCATGCTGGTCCACACGTTGGTGGCTCACACCTGTAATCCTAGTTACTGTGGAGGCTAAGATCTGAGGATCATGGTTAAAAACCAGCCCAGGCAGGAAAGTCCATGAGATTCTTATCTCAAATGAAACACTAAAAAAGCCAGAGTGGAGCTATTGCTCAAGTGGTAGAGTGCTAGCCTTGAGCACAAAAGCTTAGGAACAGGGCCTTGGCTCTGAGGTTCAAGATCTGGGACTGGCACACACAAAAAAACAAAAAACAAAAAACAAAAACATCAAGCTGGGGCTGGGAAGGTGGCTCAGTGGTAGAGCACTTGCCTTGCATGACTAAGGCTCTGGGTTCGATTCCTCAGTACCACATAAGCAAAAAGAAAAAAGCCAGAAGTGGCACTGTGGCTCAAATGGTAGAGTGCTAACATTGAGCTGAAGAGCTGAGGGACAGCGCCCAGGCCCAGAGTTCAGGCCCCATGACCGGACCCCCCTCCCCAAAAAAAAAATCAAGCTGGGTATGGTAATATATAACTATAGTCCCAGTTATGGGGAAGGCAGAGGTGGGAGGATCAAGTTCTAAGGTGGGCCTTGGGCAAAAACAGAAGGTCCAATCTGAAAAACAAGCTAAAAGGGCTGAAGGCATGGCTTAAGTCATACAGCAACTGCTCAGCAAGCATAGGTCCTAAGTTCAATTCCCAGTACTACCAAAAAAAATAAAGAAGTGTGTGTGTGTGTGTGTGTGGTGGAGGGGGGACAGTGGCTCATGCCTGTAATCATAGTTTCTCAGTAGGCTGAGATCTGGCTGAGATCTGAGGATCTCAGTTTGAAGCCAGCCCAGGGCACGAAAATCTGAGAAACCCAATGTGCGCGTGCGCGCGCACGCGCGCGCGCGCGCGCACACACACACACACACACACACACACACACACACGCTGGAAGTGGAGCTAAGTCTCAAGTGACACACACACACACACACACACACACACACACGCTGGAAGTGGAGCTAAGTCTCAAGTGATAAAACACTAGCCTTGGGCAAAAAAGTTTAGAGATAGCACCCAGGTCCTAGGACTGGCACACCAAAAGAAAGAAAATAAATTACTAAAGTGTTGCTAAAAAGCACCTTAGGGGCTGGGTTCTTTTTAGTTCCATTCTCCTATATGTGCACTGTTGAGCATCTGAAGTGGTTACTTCTTAGCAAATAACTATGTCACACCACTGACAACTGAACCTTACAGTAAGACCTTCCTAAGGAACTTCTGGTGTTTAACTGGAGATAAGAGTCTCACAGACTTTCCTGACCAGGCTGGCTTTGAACCAGGATCCTCAGATCTCAGCCTCCTGAGTAGCTAGATTACAGGCGTGAGCCAACAGTGCCCCGCCCTAAGGGACTTCTAAAGACTGGGAAGGAGTGTCTGTTCATCTTTTTTTTCCCCCCAATCCTGGGGCTTGAACTCAGGGCCTGGGCACTGTCCCTGAGCTTCATTTGCTCAAAGTTGATACTCTACCATTTGAGCTACAGCACCACTTCTGGCTTTTTCTGTTTATGTGGTACTGAGGAATGAACCCAGGGCTTCATGCATGCTAGGCAAGCACTCTACCACTAAGCCATATTCCCAGCCCTCTGTCTATCTTTTTGTTCTCACTCAGATAAAGCTCAAGCCTCTGCCTTTAGACTACGCTCCTGAGGTCCATTCCCAGCTTTCCCAGCAAAAAGAAGTTCTAGGAACAAAATCAGGATGAATAGGCTATCTGCCAAAACTTTCTATTCCTCATTCAAGTCCACTCACCTTGAGTGCCCACAATCTCCATATGCAGGTGTGCTAAACCACTGGCTGCAGACAGGGCCAGCTTAATCATACCCTCAATGGTCACTGTGTAGCGGTTCAGATAATCAAACAGGGAGCCATGCTCATGATAGTCAGAGACAAGCCACAGCTGTGTCCAGGTTCCATTATCTGCAGAGAACATATGCATTCTAGAAAAGGCATAATCATCAGAACAGGGATAATGTGTATAACACAAGATCCGAGCGGACCCTGAATTTATGTTTCTTGCCTCCACATCCCTTAGTGCCCCCTTCGTCTACTCCACCACAGTGGCCCAAAGTTCTAGGCTCCAGTGAGGGCTCAGACTGTAGAACGATTCTAAACAGAAGTCCATTTTTCTGCGAAGTCTGAGACACTAAAAAAAGTGCATTTAGGGGCTGGGAAGGTGGCTCAGTGGTAGAGCGCTTGCTTTGCATGCCTGAGGCCCTGGGTTCAATTCCTCAGCACCACATAAGCAAAAAGAAAAAAGCCGGAAGTGGCACTGTGGCTCAAGTGGTAGAGTGCTAGCCTTGAGCTGAAAAGCTGAAGGACAGTGCCCAGGCCCAGAGTTCAAGCCCCACGACCGGACCCAAAAAAAAAAAAAAGTGCATTTAGGAAAAGCAACAGGTTGACCAGTTTTGTTGCCTTGCTGCTTTTGATCCTGAAGGGATTCACTCGCTCAACTGCATTAGAAGTACACTTGGCGGCACCCAGCATGCCAAGGAGGAAGGCCTGGCGGGTCCTCTGTGCTTCCTCAGCCCTCTAACACAGCCCAGCTACAGCGCCTGTCTCTCTCAGCTAGCAATACTCAGTGAGAGCAGGAAAGATCTCCTTCACACATTATTGCATAACAGGCCAAAAAGTACACTTCAACTCAAAACAATCCACCTCCAAGTATTTCCATAGAGGCCATCTCGCCCTTCAGGAGAGCAATGGGAGGCAGGGAGCACATATACCCGCTATGGTCTCTTACACACAGGGCAGTGGGAAGGAAGGAAGAGCCAGGATCAGTTAGGGAGGACTGGAAGGAGACAAAGGAAACAACAGAAGTCGATAATCTAATTAGGCCATGTTACTGTCACTAGAAGACTGGAAATTGGATTGAGAACTCCCAAATTCTAGGCTGGTGCGAGGTCCAGGCTCCATACTAAATATGGTGGTAAAAAGACAAGAACAAAGGAGTTTGATCTTTCTCCTACCCTTGGCCCTACAGTGGGTTTCGACAGCCAGATCCCTTCTCACACAGAATCAACAGACAGAGTGGCTGCTGGAAATGCCCCAGCCTTGGCTTCTCTTATCCAACATACAAGCTCCCCACACTCTAGCCGACCACCAGGTTTGAGGATGCTCGTAAGTGAAAGGGAAGACAGGTTTCCTTTCGGATGTACACAATTTCATCAAAAACTGTAAAGAACAGCTTACTCACAGGGAGTGACCCCTTCTCTCCCCTTCTATACAAGTCCCAAGACTCCTCGGCATGGGGGCAGCTGGGACCATCAACGGCCTCCACAATAGTGAAAGGAATAAGCAGTCTGTTGTTTTAGAACAAAAACCAAATACTTAGCATCTTCCACAGACTTCATACACTAACTTCTAAGTGACTGTGCCACTGAGCAAGCTGTATCACAACTGTCAGAGACTCTTCTAGAATACAGCCTCAGTCCTCTCTATTCCCTCAGGTCCTCTCTATGCTTCCTCCACTCTTCCTGGGAGCTCTGTGAGAACAGGAATGCTATCTTCTTATGTGTGATTAGAACAGCTGGTAAAGGTCCTTGTCCACAGGGGCAAATAAATGCTATTGCATTAATGAATGAAATTCTAGTTACTACACACCTTTTCAGACTAAAATATGATCCTTTCCAGAAGCCCCATTACAACATGGCCTCTGCCTACTGCTCCAGCTGATTTTTACAGCAACATAGCAATCCCAAGTTACCTGTAGGGTCCCAAACACAACTCACGCCTTTACACATGTCTGAAGGGTCCTCCCCACTGGTTTTTCTTTCTTTCCAATTCTTGCAACCTTTGTCTCAATCAAGCTCAGATGTCATTCACCTCCAATCTGTGCTTACTAAAATAGCTGTGCCTGTTTATTACAACCATTCGTTTACCAGTGAGTAAGATCCTCAAATATACAGATATGCCTGGCAATAAGAGACTCAAAATAAAAGCAAGAAAAGAGGGGAGAGAAGGAGGAAACAAAGATCTCAAGTCCAGGTCAAAGCAAAGGCTGCATCTCACAGCTACTAAGAAACATTCCAGGACAGGCAAGTCTTTTTTTTTCTTTCTGTGGCCACTTACTACAAGTAGATGCCATGCTTACATAGAGATTATTGGCAAGCATCAGTTTGGAGAAGAAATGTCCCAGTATCTGGACTGCATGCTTTCTGTGGCTGTCTTTTCCTGGCAGAGGTAAGGCCACAATTCCTCATTCTAGCCATTTTCAAATACGCTCACCGGAGCCCCTACAGGGACTACACTGGGGGTGGATTTCAGTGTCAAAGAGGAGAAACTAGAGGGTAGGGTGAGGACATGTATGGTTGTTTACCTGAATTTAATAACTTGGGTTTCTGTATAGGTTTTGCATGGCATAAAAGGTCCACATCTTTTTTTTCTTTTTGGCCAGTCCTGGACTTGTACTCAGGGCCTGGGCACTGTCCCTGAACTTCTTTTGCCCAAGGTTAGCACTTTACCACTTGAGCCACAGCATCACTTCTGGCTTTTGCTGTGCACTGAGGTACTGAGGAATCAAACCCAGGGTTTCATGCATGCTAGGCAAGCACTCTACCACTAAGCCTCATTCCCAGCCCAAGGTCCACATCTTATGAAGGGCTTAAAAGTAAGGACTTCACTCAGACTTTCTTTCCATAAATTGTAACGCTGGAGCCATATAGCTGTGCATCCCACTGCAGTTAGACTTCAGTCACCTTCCATCTGAGAATGCCACTGATTTGAGGCTCCTCTGTATCTTAACCCAGTCCTTTACCTTTATTGTCAGCAGCAATAAATCCAAGGATATTTTCATGGCGCAGCATCACTGTCTGGTATATCTCTGCTTCACGGAACCAGGACCGTTCTTCACGAGAAGAGAAAATTTTCACAGCCACGTCACCACCCCTCCAGCGGCCGCGCCACACTTCTCCAAACCGGCCCTTGCCAATAATCTCTTGTAAAACAATGGTTCGGGCCACCGTGCGCTGGACAAAAAGGGGTAGCCCTGTGGGACAAAGAATGAAATTTGACACTATGAGTTTGCTAAATTTTGGGACTTGCACGTTTACTGCACTACTGGAAAGACCCAACACAGTGTCTCCTATCTACACTGGTCCATTAGCCACAGAGTGCAGTAGCTGGCCCTGCGTCAGTTTTATGTAGTCTACCAGCAGGCTGAGCCAGGTGGTGACTGGGAGTAAATGAACACAGAAGAAAAATGCGTATGATTAACTGCTCCTTACCAAAGAAATTTCTCCTCCAGTTGGTATGGATGATGGGTTTAGATGTAAATGTTTCACCAGATTTTTTTTTTTTTGTCGGTGGTGGGGCTTGAACTCTGGGCTTGGGTGCTCTCCCTCAGCTCTTCAGCTCAAGGCTAGCACTCTACCACTTGAGCCACAGATGCACTTCCGGTTTTCTAGTGGTTTATTGGAGATGCGTCTCATGGACTTTCCTGCCTGGGCTAGCTTTGAACCATGATCCTCAGATCTCAGCCTCCTGAGTAGCTACGATTACAAGTATAAGCCATGGGCACCCAGCTGTTTCACCAGATTTACACTTGTGGGCCAACCCACCCACCTCTGCTTTACTCTGAAGGAAACAAGAAGAGAGCAGACAAAATGACAGTGACCAGGGGACATAGTTCAAATGGTACAGCAGGCCTATGCAGGCAAGCTCAAGGACCTAAGTTCAAACCAGAAAAAAAAAAAAAGGAACTGCCTTCTGACGATTCTCCTATTAGCCACTAGAGGGAAGTGTTGTGTGTTGTGTGGCCCAAGACACTCAGACAGTAAAACTCTACTCACAAGAAACTCCAGGTGTAGAAAGGGGACTATCCATCTAAGTCTCATTTTACTGTCTTTGTAGGACCTTGTTACTGCTTCATTTAACTCATCCACTACTCCATTTCTATCTCCCTCTTAAGACCAAATAACAACTTATTGGTGGATATGAGTTACTATTTACCATGTGCTTACTATGCACAGGGTGGGTAAATTATTAACTCTTCTTGCAACCACCTGTAAGGTAGGTATTTCCACTTAACAGAAAAACAAAAACAAAACCAAAAACCAAAATACCAAGGGAACATTATATAACTCATTCAAACTCATACAAACCATTATGTGACAAGACAGGGATTAAAATCTAGGACTCCACAATCCATGCTTTTAACTATTCAGTATAGAAACCACCAAACTCTCAAATTAGAAACAGGCCCCTGTCCTATTCTGGCCCTTCTTTTAAAGACTTCCAACTGGTCTTGCTGCTTTATCTCACCCTGTTCGTGCCCTACACACCCACTCTGCGTCTTGCCTCAGCCCACCCTTCCTAACAGGAGGCGGGCATATGAGTGACTTCATCCTTTATACGGCCAGCATCCTTCCAAAGGAAATGATGAACACAGATTTTCACATGTGAAAGCTTTCGGCAAATGCTTCTTACCTACATGAAGTAAAGCCTTCCAAGGCCTTTTACACCCTGGCCAGCTCCCCATTCCCTGCCTCTTAGCATGGGCACCCCTGAATCCTTGCAAAATTTCAATCACTCCTTTTTTCTTTTTTTGTTGGTTGTAGGGACTGGGCACTGTCCCTCGGCTTTTCAACTCAAGGCGATCACTCTACCACTTGAGCCACAGCACCACTTCCTGTTTTCTGGTGGTTACTTAGAGATAAAAGTCTTCCGGACTTTTCTGCCCGGGCTGGCTTTGAACCATGATCCTCACATTTCAGCCTCCTGAGTAGCTAGGATTACAGGTGTGAGCCACCGGTGCCTGGCTCCAATCATTCTTCAAGACCCTCCTCAAATGCATCCTCATCTATAAGACTTGCCAACAATCCCACTCCCTCCTATGCAATCCAGCACTGGCCTCTCTGTAGTCTTTGTTCCCAGAGGGTATTCAGCTTATACTTGTTCAAATAAACTGGAATTCACATAAGCATCACGGACTTATTATTAAAAAAAAAAACAAAAACAAAAAAAACAAGATGGGCGCCAGTGGCTCACGCCTATAATCCTGGCTACTCAGGAGGCTGAGAGCTGAGGATTGTGGTTCAAAGCCAGCCCAGGCAGGAAAGTCTGTGAGACTCTTATCTCCCATAAACCACTAGAAAACCAGAAGTGGCGCTGTGGCTCAAGCAGTAGAGAGCTTGCCTTGAGCTGAAGAGCGCAGGGACAGTGTCCAAGCCCAGAGTTCAAGCCCCACAACCGACCAAAAAAACCCCAAAAAAACACACATTACAAAATGCCCACCTTGGAAGCCCTACACTGAGGATGAACTAAACCACCCAGAGATAAATAGACATAAGCCATGGTACTCCTGGTGCTCAGAAAACTAATCACCCTGCCTTCCCTGCCTCAGTTGATCCTGGCCCTGAAATCCCTGGACATTCAAGTCCCCTCTTCCCACAGCCAATCAAGACACAGCCAGGCATTTTCAACTACTGTCCTACCTCTGTCGACAAAGAACAAGCTATATATTTTCTGTCTCTAAAAATATGCAGTTTTAAAATATATTCATCATTTTGGGGCTCTCTGCTGCCAAGCTTAATAAAGACAAAACCACTGACATTCAGGAGGTGTCACAGCTCACAGTATTCCCCGTGTTCAAGGAGGAATGTCTGGCCATGGCTGATGGGACAACTTCCCTCCAGAACAATAGTCTGTCCCAGATCAGGGAAACACAGAAACACATGAGTGTTATAAGAAAGTGTGTTCAAGCTAGAATGGCAACTCACTGATCTTTGTGGCTGATTTCTTCTTTTAAAATGGAAAAGCATGGTTATTAAAATAATTATCTTTACTTTAAAAAAAAACACTTCTTTTATAGTCATGCTCACATCTAATACCTAGCTGAGCTACTGCATAAGACCTCTGTCTTAAAATTCTGGTCTCATGCCAAGGCTCACTATTAGGTTCAATGCCCTCATCTAAGAAAGACCGGGACAACAGGCACTGCAGGAAATGGAGCCCAAGCTATGCTGGAAGCCCAAGCAGTCTTTACGAGAACCCCCACCGAATTACCCTTAGGCAGTGGTACAAGTCAATGATTCACCAGATCCCAATACTAAAGCTTTGCTCCATGTCCTTAAACTCCCCTTGTGGCTGCCCAGAGATCAATGATTAGCTGTCAGCACCTCACAGGAATCCGGCACACTCCTGTTTCTCAAAAGGGGCCCTTAAATGGAGCTCTCCACTGCTCAGGTGGAACCAGCTGGATTTTCATAGATGTATTGCTGGAAGAGAGGCAGAGTTTCTGCAAGGGAGAGTTTTATACCTTTGGAATCCTAGGGAATGAAAGATTTTCTGTGAAGCCATTATCATATCTTATTACATGTTGGACTCTAAAAGAAGGGGAATTATGAAACCAAATGACTCAGTGCTGGTAGAAACAAATGCAGGGCCCCCTGCCTTCCTCATAAACACTCTCCTGCTGGGAAACAATCATGAGGGCCAACAGCACGGCTGACGCCTGGAGAACTCCATACCTGAGCCAGACCCTGATGTAGAGAGATCGTAGACAAGATCCTGGAGTGTCTTATCTTTGGAAAGACACATCTCACAGGAGGGATCTTCCATGTCCAGTCTCTGGCGGTTGTGATAGACACGCTGATGATAGTTAATGACAAGGAAGACAATGATGATGATGAGAAACAGGAGGAAGACTGGGCCAGCAATAATGCCTACAAGCTCCACAGGGCCCCACATGGAAGGGTGCTCAGGCTCCTTGGGGTGACCTGGTCAAATGACAGAAAGGAGGGAAAGAATACAGAGTAAAAAGAAGGGAACTGTGTCTATCTCCAACCCTACTCCGATGTGAAAAAGACCCCTTTCTCCCTCAGCTTTGGAGTCCTCTGATCACTCCAGTCTTACTGGGCTGGACCATCTGCCTAGATGCTCTTAAATGCCACCTTCTTTAGTTGAGGCATCTCTCCAACAGTCAAACCAAACCCACTCTGCAAGTTCACACAGCATGTCAGGATACTGTCTCAGTCTGCAGAGAGATGTTAATTTCTATTTGCTAGGCTCTGCTCTAGTCCCTCCAGCACTTGCTAAGTGGCTCACCTGCACAGGGCAGTCAGTGTCTGGTACTTTCTCCACTGTAATCACTACCTAATTCCAGCCCCTCTTTATACCACTCCCCTCCTCAAAGCAGACCCTCCACATGGCTTTGACATTCCTTCATCTTCAATCAGTCCTCTATGCTCTGGATAAATCCCTGCCTGGCTCCACTGCCAATGGTTGCTCAGCCACTCACGAAACTGGCACATCTGAAACGAACTTGAACATCTGCCTCTCTCATCTTCTAAGCTACAAACTTGACTTGGGAGCAAATCCATCCCATATACCTCAGGGAACAGCAAAAAAGGCACCTTTAACTATTACTGGGCGAGTGGACTGAAGAAAAACAAAACAAACATGAAAGGACAAGGTAGGTGCCCTACTCCCAGTTGAGCCAATAGTCCAACAAGGGTATCCACTCACCACTGGGCACCCTGAGGTCGATCTTGTTGCAGAAGTCAGAATAGCAGCAGTGGGTGTTGCGCAGATCCTCTGAGCTCAGGCAATAGAAAGGTTTTCCAGCAGGGACCAGCTCCACTTTGGGGATGCAGGTGCGCACATGGTGCTCCATCCCATCCAGGTTGAAGATGGAAACCATGCAAGCCCCATCTGTTTCACATGTGTAGTTGGCCTGTCCGCAGCTGGTGCATGCACACAGCAGAGCTGCAGGAAATTGGGAACAGACATCAACAGCAATGGTAAGATCTTTTCCAGGCTTAGAATATAATCCCTTAGTGTACTTCACACTCCAAAATAAGGAGCTTTTGTGGAAATGGAGTCAAAAAGCTATTTTCACTGGGCACAACCTTTTCATTTACTAATGCAGCTCGCAAATAAGACCTTACAGGCCCTACTGCTGTTCTCAGTGCTGTTTCATGCGAGAGAGAGAGATGGAGAGAGAGAGATGGAGAGAGAGAGAGAGAGAGAGAGAGAGAGAGAGAGAGAGAGAGAGAGAGAGCGCACACACACACACACACACACCTTTGAATTGTAACCAAAACCCTTGATGAGAGAAAGTCTCTTCCCTTTGGAGAATAGAAGGCAACTCCCCATATTCCAGGCAAAACTTTGCAGTCAGTATTACCCCATCTCCTCTCTCCCTCCTTGGATACCAGGCATGCCCAGTTTCCCAAATGTGATATATACATCCTCATATATTATTTTTCTTTTGGGGAGGAGGGGGCAGTACTAGGCTTGATCTCAGGGCGCTGGGCTTTGTGCTCACAACTGGTGATCTATCCCTTAGACCACTCCTTCAGTCCAGCTTTTCTGCTGGATAACTGGAGATAAAGTTGGACTTTTCTGCCCAGGCTGGATTCAAACTGTAGTCCTCAGATCTCAGCCTCCTGAGTAGCTAGGATTTCAGTTCCAGGCCACTGGTGCCCAGATCTCATATATTCTTCTTTTTAAATGTTAGTTGTGGGGCTGGAACTTAGGACCTGGACACTGTCCCTGAGCCTTTTTGTTCAAGACTAGCATTCTACAAGCTGAGCCACAGCTCTACTACTGGCTTTTTGGTGATTAACTGGAGATAAAGAGTCTCATGGACTTTCCTGCCTGGGGCAGCTTCAAATCAAAATCCTCAGATTTCAGCCTCCTGAGTAGCTAGGATTATAGGTATGAGCCCAGCTCTCATATATTCTTTTACTGAAATCTTTGGTCCTGACAAACCCTTCAAAATTCTGCTAAAATATCACTTTTTCTTTTTGGTGCTGGGGCTCGAATCTAGGGCTCCCAGCTCCTGATTAGCTTTTTTACTCAAAGTTGGCACTCAATCACTTGAACCATAACTCCATGTCTGGCTTTGTGGTGGTTAACTAGTAATAATGGGCCAGATTTTTCTGCTCAGGCTGATTTACCCTCAGATCTCAGCCACCTGAGCCATGGGTCTTAAACATCACTTCTTATGAAAAACTTCCTCAGACCACTCCTTTATCATCGTTACCATTTTCATCTATTTGGTGCCCCTTTATGAGTGACAAAAATGATGTCCTCCAAAAAGAATTTTAGTACCTATCTCATAAAGCTTACTAAATGTATAAAAAGTGCTCAATAAATTTAACTCATCTACAAATCTTCATGGTACTTAAACACACACATATGTGCACAAAACATAGTTTTTCTAATAGGCAGTATATACAATCCCCCCTGGGACTAATGAACTTTGCTGGGTATATATCATACATAAATAACTGTGCCACCAACAGGAAATTACAAAAAATGAATTTGGAGCCTCTGAAAGCCATTCAGCAGCCCTGGAATCTGCAATCCTTTATTTATCTGACTAACAAGAATAGCACAGACAGCAGCAGTTGGTTCTTCCCAACACTGTCTCTCACAAGCCTAACCTAGCCCTGACCCCTTGGGATGGGCAGGAATGTTGCTTTGGCCACTAGAATACTGAGGCTGGAAATGAGGCACTCACCCAATCAGGTGACAGAGAGAAGAGGGTGCCAAGTCTTAGGTGCCACATTCGGTGAGCATTGCCTGTGGGAAGACACGCACTAAGGCTCAAGAGCCAACACTTGTGATCAGTCCCATGAAAAACAACCCTGTTCTAACTCCCCATTTCAGCTGTAAATAGTTTTATCTTTCAGGTAGAGACTGAGAGAAGACCAAAGTTCAAGGCCAGCCTGGACATAAGCACAAGACCTCTATCTCATTCAATAGCTAGACACAGTGACACGTGACTGTGGGAAGTATAAACAGGTGCACTGCAGTCCAGGCCAACCCAGACAAATACTGGAGACCTTATTTGAAAAATAATGAAGATGGGGCACAGAAATGAAAGGACAAAAGGTGAACAAATGCAGCAGTACAACTCACTACACACTATGTTGAGAATGAAGTACACAACTTGTGGATGGGATGGGCGAGAAAAACTGGGAGTGAGAGAAGTGTACTCTTTACCCAGCTTATGCAACTGTAATCCCTTTGTACATCACCTTTATAAGGAATGTGACTCAGTGGTAGAGTGCTTGCCTTGCATGCATGAGGCCCTGGGTTCGATTCCTCAGCACCACAGAAGCAAAAAGAAAAATGCCGGAAGTGGCGCTGTGGCTCAAGTGGTAGAACGCTAGCCTTAAGCTGAAGAGCTGAGGGACAGTGTCCAAGCCCAGAGTTCAGGCCCCACGACCGGACCCCCCCCCCCCCCAAAAAAAGGGAAAAATAAAAAAGAACGAAGACAAACGGGCTCAATGAGGTAGAATGCCTGCAAGTGCAAGAGACTGAGTGCAAACCCCAGTACAAGAGGAGGAGGTTATCTTTGAGCTTGGGGTACTGTTCAAGTGATAAGAGTAGTTGTGTGAGTTCAATTCCTAATACCACCAATGACGAAAAAAAAAAGGGGGGGGGGACAAGTAGCTCACTTCTATAAACGTAGCTACTCAGGAGGCTGAGATCTAAGGATAGACATTTAAAGCCAGCCCAGGTAGGAAAGACTATGAGACTCTTATCTCCATTTAACCACCAGAAAACTGGAGATAGAGCTGTAGCTCAAGTGGTAGAATGCTAGCTTTGAGCACAAAAGCTCAGGGACAGTGCCCAGGCCCAGCTCTGAGTTAAAGCCCCAATACTGGCACACACATACACACAGAAAGCTAAAATGCAGCGATTACAACCTGCTCAATTTTGGAGCCAAACTGCTGACTTCAAACCCAGGTTTGCCCTTTATCTATGATCTTAACACCAAGACTAAAGAGATTTGAGAATTATCAGCTTTTAGGGGCCTGAATTCAAGCCTCCTGAATGCACGCATGTGCACATACACAAAATCTTCATCCTTTCCAGTATTCTCAAAGTCATTTCTTTGGCTTTTCAAATACAAAGGCAGATTCTAAATCTCTTAAGTCCAACTCTTCCTGCACCAGACTGTCAATAAAGGAAACAATCCCTTGCTATTCCCAACCAAGAAACCAAGGACCAGTAGACAGTCAGTGGAGACCTTCCTGGCAGCCTGTGTGCTTTTTCAGAGCATTTGATCAGATCCCTATCTTCTGAGAGAAATTCCATACAACATGTGGGTACCTGTTGAGTTTGGTAGAGCTATTTCCTAAACTTCATTGAGTGAAGTTTAAGTAGATGTTTGTGGAAGTAGATCCAAACCATAAAAAGAATCTTAAAAGCAAGTTTCCCTTGAATTTCAACGCTAAATCTTAGTAAGTCTCAAGAAAGGCTTCTTGTTCTTTCCTCCGAATACCTGTAAGTCTCACTCATCCCCCACCCTCCTTTGCAAACTTCAACTCAGGCAAATTCTGGAATCCTTAGTTCAATCCTCTTTTATTCCACGAGAATTCCATTAATCGAGAAAAGCTACTCTCCTGCACCCCTCAGGCATGAAGGGGCTCCCTGTGCGGAACACACCTCACAGTACATGGGTTGGGACGTCCAGCTGAGAACAGCACCAGGTCTATTTTGGGAAGTAAGAAAGAGAAAATTAACAACTTCAAGAGAAGACTATTCTGAGCATGGTGAGACACACAAGGCCAAACCCACAGTTGCCTCTTTAAAAAGAGCTCACTTCAGAGTCCATCAATTAGTGGGGCAGAACAGTCAGGAGTCTCTCTGATTCCAGATATTTATTCTTGTTTCGTTGGTGCACAGCCTCTTTCACAATGAATCATTCTGGAGAATGAACACACCCACACGTGGCTCATTATTTTTGGGAAGTACTTAAACAATCTTGGCGTAAGACAGGAAAGAGCAAAAGTGGTGAAATCCATGCTAGAAGGGACTGAAAAGGTGGGGGGGATGGGTTGGGATGTGGGTTTGTGATAAGAAACTGGGTGAATCCCAGAGCCTCAACTGTCCAACCAGAAAACAACATGCATCGTATAGAGATAGTGGAGAGATTAGCTATCGTGAGAAAGGGTGACTGTACCTGCATCTGTATACATCTGCACATTTCATAGTGAGCAAGAAGTCTGAGCAGACAGTTTAAGATTACCATCACCACTGCCCACCCCCTGAAAAGGTCTAAACTGTATCACTGGCCACATAAGCCACAGTGGCATCATGGAGCAACAGGGCAGAAAGATCTAAAGCTCAAATGTCAGCTCTACTATTAACCAGATGACCTTGAGCAAGTTATTAACTTGATTGCAGCAGTCTCCTTTGAGCTCAATCTGTAAAGTGGGACTGTTAATAACTAGCTCCCGTAACTATGTAAAATTATATGAATAACATTTTAAAAGAATCAACAAATAGAAGGTACACAATAAATATAATTCCTTTTGATGAACACGGCCCCCCCCCAAAAAAAAGAAAAACACAAGTAAAAGATCTCTTTCAAACCACTAATTAGCAAGCGGCAAGTTACAGCAAGTTCTTAGCAACAAAGCCATGTTCAAGTCTCAGCTCTGCTGAAGCTTTAGGCAAGTTAGGTAGCCTCTCTAAACCTCATTTTCCTCGAGATAAACCAGAAAAAGAGAACAGAACAAGACCTCAAATCCTTTCCAACTCTTAAGTTTGAATCTAGTTTTATTTTTTAATTGGCTGATACTGGATAATTCCACTTTGTTTCATTTGCTACTTATCTGCTAGCATTTATTTTTCATTGAAGCTAAATAAGTGGTTACAAAATTACAACCATATCTGACTTTACTATAAATTTAGCACAACATACAAATCTAAATTTAATTCTTGAAAAACTAAATCTGGACTAA